ATGCTTAATCCAATGTATTTTGTATTAAAATTCCCCATTGCACTCATTCTCTCTAAAATATTATCGTTATTAAATCTTAAAAAAAATAATTTGTTTTTATAATGAAAAAGAGAGTATTTACTCTTAAATCTAAGTTGGTTGATATAGAATATAATTTGTTTTAACAAGGGTAATAGTTTTTTTATGCCGTAGGAAAAAATTATTATCTCCAACATATTCATTTGTGCAAATAGGGTCCTTCAGGAACAAGAAAAAATGAGACCGACTTTGAATTTGTGTGTGTAGAAGATAATTTCTTTTTTATATAACATGAGAATAAAATTCTTTAACAAAATACTGAATTGAATCTATCTATTCAAATCATGTCAAAAAATAACATTAATAAAAATATAATTAAATAATTTTTATTTTCATATATTTTAAAAGTATATTATGTCAAATTCGATGTATATTAATAACGTATTGATTAATTTTAAATTAATGAAATATGCATAAATATGATTTGTACCATAAGAAATGGGAATTGAGATAAAATTATTCAGTAAAATTACTTTTGAATAGTGTAAGAATAAATTTGACTTGCACTGGTGTAAACCAACTAATCCCTTATAATTAATATTCTCATATTATGATAAACTTTAAATTAAACCAACAATATTACACCCTTAATGGGTCACACTTTGAAGACATATTCATTGTCTTAATCTTGCCACGTGTATCCCCAAGCTCTTGTCATCTTTTTAACCTTTTCCTTATCCTTGCTGTAGCCTAGTTGGCGGGCAACTTGTTCTTCGGCTTTCCTCGATAGTAATGCAACTTTTAACATTTTTTTTTTTAAAGTATCTTTTAACATTCTTATTTAGGAGACGATTTTCGATACATCCGATATATTTACGATTTTCGTTCAAAAATTAAGATTTGGATGAAATTATTTTTCTTTTTTTAAGGGCGTTTGGTACAGAGTATTTTGTAGGATTTCAAAAAATTGAATTTTTTTAAATTTTTAATTTTTAGATATTATTGTAAACTGAATGTTTTCATCATATTTTTTAAAAATCGAGATATTTAGATAAATTTTTTTTTTTATATTTTCATCATAGAAAATATCTCATTTTGATTGGCACATTATACTAAATCAGTGGTACGATGAATGTACCTAAAATAAACGCTTATTTAGATCCCAGAAGTTTTATGTTTCTTCAAAAATCAACCGAAAAAAAAACTTGAGAAATTTGATAGATCATCTTTAGATTACCTTTCGCCTTTCGGTGTCTGTAACTTCAAGAACTGCTGATAGAATTGATATATTTTCTTCCGAGCTAATGTAACGTGGCAGAAGTTAAATGAATAGTGCATGTCTCTGCAGGAATTACAATATTCATTAATATACGCCAACAACACACCTTGCATTAAATCAGACTTCTCCGGTAATTGTAGCATGAATTCTTTTAAATGTTTGACATTGCATATATTTATATAAAAGATATACTTATACTACTTTCTCTTTTTTTTTTTAGTAAACTTATACTCATATACTACTTTCTCTTTCTTTGTATTATTCACTTTCTTTTTTTGGAATATTCTTAACTTTTTATTTTTTATTCACTTTTTTTAAACATATTTATTTGATTTCCCCGCACTACGCGAATTAAGATATCAAATGGAATTCTATTCCCAAAGGACAACTTTGCTTTCTCTTCTTTGGCAATAGCCTTTCACACTTATTCAAATGGCTTTCCAACCAAACACAATCATTCACAACAACATGAAATCATATATGGAACAGGTTAAGAGTACTATTATATCCAACAAAATCAGTATCCTTCATATAATATATTCGATGGCTAGGGATTCTCCCTAACCTGTTTAGTTTCGTAACAGCACCCTAGCCAGCTTGGTTTGTTTCTATTTAGTTATGTAAGTATATTAAAAAAAAAAAAACACACACACATATATATATATATATATATAAGGTTTACATTTCTACCGCTGCTGTACGTGCAGCAATCAAATACTTGTTATAGATATACTTGAAAGTATTAAATGCAGGGAATCATAACCATACAAAGGATAAAAACATTAAATGTGGAGAATCATAACCATACACATGTCTTTGCTGTACGTAAAGCGGCTGCAGAAATGATTTTACTATATATATATATATATATATATATATATATATATATATATATATATATAAGAAAAAATGTTTCTGCAGTTAATGCAGATAAGATATCTGCATTTATTCCCAAAACGGCGTCGTTTTGGTATTGAAATCTTAAAAAATTATAAATATAAAGACTATTATAACCCTGAAATAAACTAAAATTACAAAAATATCATGATTTCCGTCCCAAAACGACGTCGTATTGGCTTACTGCAGATAATTTATCTGCAGTAACTGCAGAAAAAGCGAACCCATATAAGAAAAAATGTTTCTGCAGTTAATGCAGATAAGATATCTGCATTTATTCCCAAAACGGCGTCGTTTTGGTATTGAAATCTTAAAAAATTATAAATATAAAGACTATTATAACCCTGAAATAAACTAAAATTACAAAAATATCATGATTTCCGTCCCAAAACGACGTCGTATTGGCTTACTGCAGATAATTTATCTGCAGTAACTGCAGAAAAAGCGAACCCATATATATATATAGGGTTTACATTTCTGCAGCGGCTGTACGTGCAGTAGTCAAATACTTGCCATACATATACATGAAATCATTAAATGCGGGGAATCATAATCATATACCTGACATTGCTGTATGTAAAACGGCTATAGAAATAATTTTACACACACACATATATATATATGATGAATATCACGATAAAAATATCTTACATAAAATTACATATAATTAATAATCTTATAATACAATTCGAGAAAAATTCAGTTATTATTCTAATTCTCACAGTAATATTTTACATCAACTTTAATACAAAAATTATTTTTATCCAAATAAAACCTAAAAATAGGAATTATTATAGTATTATTTTACATATGAATGAAAAGTGGCTCAACTAATATGATAAAAAAAATAGCATCGACAATAAATTTTGGGTTCAATTCTTGCTGATAATATTCATTATAGTTGATCAACTTTGTTTATAAAAACATTCAAATAATTAAGATAAAATGAGAAATTTATTGCAATGTTTATTAATTTATTCTTTTAGATACCGATACCTGAACATAAAAAGAAGTATATAACATGTAGCAGACACCATAAAAATAAAATACATACATGATTATTATTATTTTAAATATATTTTGAGGTGGTTGGGTTAAGTGATACATGATAATTTTGTTACAGAGAAATAAAAAAAATATTATATTTATAAATTTTTTATTTATAAATTATATTATGGATATTCTTAAGTCAATATATTTTTCAGAATACTTAATATAAATATATTATGTATATTCTTAAGTCTATAAATTTTTCAGAATACTTAATATAAATTATAAGAATTTATAAATAAAAAATTTATAAATATAACCTATCAAAAAATAATAGGATATTAACAGCTGGGGGTATCGCAACTTACAGCTATAAAGGTTTGCTTTAACAATTCTTTTCCAACTTTCTGCTAATAGTTCCTCTTCCTACTCCACTTAGTTATTGCATCCAATTCCATATATCACCATCTGCCAAAGCCAAAGTTGACAGATAGACATTTAAAATAATAATTCAGCGCCTGTAGTTTTCCGGGAACATAATTCCATGTAACAAACTGAGCGTATCCGTGTATTCATGCACTCTTTCTCCCCGTCCCAATAATTATATCCGCAATATGACCCTCCTTGTAAATAAAACTTCAATATTACCGTGTTGAGTATTTAGTATAAGGGTTTTATAATTCTTATTCAACATGAGAATTAAAATTTTCCTACACATTTTTCGATTTCCGTACTGACATGAGTCCTACATATAATTTTTTCTATCACATAGATCCCACATGTTTTTTATCTCTACAACATGATAGTTGAATTCTCATTCAATATGAGAAAATCAAACCCCTTAATATAACCATATAATTATAACTATGTATTTTGGAGAATATATAATGATAATATTAAATTTATATTTTTTTTTCTTTTTACGTTAACTGATAAGTTTTTGATTAAAGAAAAAAAATATAACTTTAATATTATAAATGATATGCTCTCTGAATTACATAATTATAATATCATCATGAAATTAAGTGTTCAGTACGACGGTAATACTAAAATTTTATTCTCTCCCTAGGTAGGCCACGAACAAATATATAAGTTATCTATATCAAGGATGCATGGGAATCCAACTGTACTAGGTAGCGCTGCCATTAATTCATATGATATATGAAAGACAAATTACGCTGGCAGATTACGCTAGTCTTTAAATGGCATAGACCATTCTCACCCGCACCAGTTACGTCCAAAACAATAGCACAAGACTGTCATATTGTCACCCTCGTAAAGCATCTTGGTTTTGCATATTTTTTAATTAATGGCCAACAGTGTTAGAAATCGACACATGAATCGAAAACAATAAAGAGAAAAAAAAAAGAGATTTGACATAGTAATTTATTTTATTTATCCAATATAAATTATATCCAACTTGTTTTTTGTATATTTATCTCACTGTTACTTATTACAAGTCACTTAATTTATAAAAAAATATAAATAGAATTTAGAAAATAATAATAATAACTATTCATGGCTCAAACTCAAATTAATAAAAAAAAAATTACAATATGTGAAGTATAAGAGTCGTGCCCAACAAACAGTTCAAGTAAATAACTTTTTTTATTGATGTTATCCTCATTTGACTCGTTATAATGGCCTTAAAAGATAAGCTTGGGTTTGCAACTATGTGTTCGACTCGAGTGTCAAATTAAGATAAGACTCGTGGGGTTGAGAGTCAAACCATGCGCTGCTTCTCCTTACTTACTTGTTCCTATAATTTATAAAATTCTACACGTACTAATTAAGGAGTTTCCAACTTGTGTCCATACTTCATAGAACTCTCATCGATCAACTATAAATAGGAGCTCTTCCTGTTTCTCATTACACGCACTTGGCTATCAACTTTTTCATTAAGAATACATCTATCTTAAAGCTCCCCTTTCCTATACACATGGCTCTCTCTAAGCTTCTAGTTGCTTCCCTTCTTGCATCACTTCTCCTTCTTCATCTTGTAGATGCTTATCAACCGGTATAATTCAATATTCTGCTTCTTCTTAATTTCTATATGTATTAGTCATTAGTCATTCATTACTTACCTGGCACCCGTTCTCTCTTTCTTGTTCTTTATGCATGGTTCACATGAACCGAGTTAGTGTTGATTTCTTTTTCTTTTTTTTCTTTTTTCAAACTAAACATCTATTTAATTAACTAATTTATTACATACTTTTGGGGAACCGCAGGCATTCGCGCCAACTCAGGGTACTGTGCTTCAGCAGATAGGTACTACTAAACTGCAAAGGCAATTTCATATATACAATTATTACATCAATTAATTTTGAATTACGAACATAAAGTATACAATTGCAGATTGCAATGGAGCATGTGCTGCGAGGTGCCGTTTATCATCTCGTCCAAATCTATGCCACAGAGCATGTGGGAGTTGTTGTAGAAGATGCAATTGCGTACCACCAGGCACTGCTGGAAACGAAGATGTGTGTCCCTGCTATGCCAACTTGACTACACATGGTGGTCAACACAAGTGCCCTTAGGCTTGCGCATGACATTGTATTATATTAATACCATTGGTTTGCAGTCAGCATAAAATGTTGGTCAATGTGCTCTGAAGAATAACGTCATCGGAAATAAAGCCCGTTTTCAATACGTGTTGAATAATTGGGTGAAAATTTGGGATGTATATTTTCAAAATTATATATTGTCAAGTTGTGATTCCTTTCTTTTTTTATATTGTATTTACATTGGTTGTACCTCGTATATCACTTATATCAATAAGAATTTCTTATTTAATCATATATATTTTTTATGGGTTCTATTTTTCTTATGGTGCAGGAGATACTTTTCTTCTGCAAAAAAAATAAAATAAAAATAAATAACTTTTGACACAAACACAATGTTCTTATTTTGCGAGTTAACACGATACAAATATGACACGAATAATCTCTAAGAAAACTAATGCTGGCTAATTTCGGGTTGGCTGGTTGACACACGACATGACACAATTATTTTTGGGTCAATTTTTGCAAACCCAAACAGGACGTGGATTTTAAAATGGGTCTACCCAAACATGAAATTTTAATGTCGTGTCAGCATGTTGTGTTAAAAATTGCCACCACCAGATCAAATCAATTTTTCCATTGACATAATTAATGTTCAAATGATACAATCACTGACATTTTGTTCTTCAAAGAATTAGACGAAATTGTGCAATGCTTTTTGAAGTTGTCCATATACCAGCAAATAATTTTTTGTATCAAGCGCTTACCACTAGGGCGAATTATATAGTTGTTAATCAGGGCATAGCTCTTCCTACTTACCCCTACCAGTCAAAGCACCTTGGTTTGATCTGACTCCGACCCCACACTAGGCCTTGCCAAGGCAGGATATTAGCATCTCTATCAATATCCCCACCAACATCTTCCTTTCGCAAAGTGTCATTGAACCCATGACCTCAGTTTTGATACCAAGTGCTGGTTTGAGCGCTTATCACTAAGACAAAAACTATAGCTATTAGTATAGGCGAAACTTTTTATACTTACCCCTACAAGCCTAAGCACCGTGGTTCGATCTAACTCCGACCTCACATTAGGCCTTGCTAAGGCAAGATGTTGACATCTCCAACATAATCATCTTCCTTCTTATCAACTTAAGGAATGTAATATCCACATTTATAATTTTCATTGACACTATTTAATTTTTCAATGCTAAATCTCAAGTGAATAGATGATACATCAAATCCGAAGAAGAAGAAGAAGAAAATTTTTTGAACAAAACAAATGGCTAAAGAAAGAAAGGACAACTTAAAAGGCCTTTCATAGTGCTCAAATTGTGATAATGACACACTTCTTACTTATAATTACAATTCTACTAAGGGTAATTGCCCCATTATTCAACATGGACAATACTAAGCCTATGTAACTTATTAACTAAACTTAAGCTATGATACTAACTTTGTCACGGCCCAAACCCGAGTTATGGCCAGCACACAGACTAAACTTAGACTTATCACTAATTAATCTGGCAAGCCTAATTACAACCCCACTACATTTCATTTTATCAAAAGTCTACATCAAACCTTGCTTGTAGAAAAGATAGAACAACTCTAGATAATAACAGCGAAAAATATATTAAATATCTTGGCTACACGAACAATGTGTCAGGCTCACCAATGACAACCAAAACAGACCCATTTAATCAAACCGAAGGAGTGGAATCAGAAGTTCATTTTTTAACTTTATTTGGCAACATATAAAATTAATAATTAATTCAAATGGTAAATATGAGAAATTCTAAAATCCCAAACCAATTTATATTTGTAACAAAAATCAACATTTTAACAAAATCATATGCCGATGAAATCAAATAACAAGCTTGAAAAGCCACATTTGAAATCAAAATCCTTCACCATGAAACAAACACCACCCGAGAAAACTTATTCAACAATAGCTACACTGGTTTGGTACCTCTGTAACTCCATCTCAAGCCACCTACACCTATGATCAAGGGAAAGATTTTGCTGTCTCACCCACTTGTTAGGTCTATTCACATGAACCTTAAAGCAAGTCATCCCCCTATTATGAATACAAGTGTTTCAAACACAAGGTACATCATCTTTCTCAACTAACTTACACCTGCTTGAACCATTACTGATATGCCCCCAACTTGTTCTATTGAAGAGGCATGAAGGAACTTCTTCATACCAAGATCAAAGGAGTGTCATTGATAATGTCATGCTCTGCCCAAAAAAAAAAGTTCTAATAAGTATATTGCATGATTCCCACCTTACTCTTAATCAGACTTATTCAATTTTTATATGAATTCCTTTTGTTAAATGAGAGGAAAAAGAGAAATGTAAGAACCCGCACCGCTAATTAAGGAAATTAATTAGATAATTATGAGATAATTCCATAATTGACCCTAATAATTATTATGAGGCTCTAATAATTATAGTAAGTGAGTAATAATGCTGAAAGTCGCTTTTCTGACGAAAAGTGCAGATACCGATTCTGCTAGTCGGTATAAATGCGTACTGGCGAAGTATACCAGAAAATTATGAATAAAAATATGATAAATCTTAAAAAAATGAGTAGGTTCAGAATCTAAAGTTTGAGATTAAAATGCTAAGCGTAGCTATTTTCGTTAATACTGTGTGTTTAATTTTAAGTGAGCTATAAATACTCACTTTGGCCCAAAACCCTAGGCCACATTTTATCCTACGTGAGTCACTTGCTGAAGCTCTCAATCAGCCACCCTCTCCTCCTTTCAAACTTGAGTTTTCTCTTTAGAATCTCCCCAAGGTCTCACCTTTCCTTTGATTCTTCCTCTTTGAAGTTGTAAACACTGTCTTGTTGGGCATTGTGAGGGAGTGTGGTGTAGCCTTTTGAGTGTTTGTTGCTGCCTTTGGGTGGTTGAGGGCTAAGTTGTTGAGTCTTGTGGAGGGAGCCTTGTTCTTGTTCTTTGAGGCTTCAAGAAGCCATTTTGATGGTGAAAGGTCAAAGCTTGTTGTTGATTTTCGTAGTCTTGGTGGGACAGAACCTATGTGTTGTGTAGAGGACCCCTTGTGTGCCTCACTTTCAGATTTGTGGTGCATTAGAGGTATACTTGATCATAACTCTTGTCATTTTGATGTTTTAAGCTGGTTTAAGCAATTAAAAATCGTAACTTGAACCATTTGATAAAAGAAATGTGTTTCTGGGTTCATAACATGTTAATAAACATCTGTTTAAGGAGTTCTTGGACTCCATATCGAGTTTGGATCATTGGAGATCGATTTTACCTTTAAAACTCAGTTTTCTGCATTCTGCCGAAGAAGTATTCAAATACTTTTCGGGAAGTATTCAAATACTTTTCTGGGAAAATGCAGTGATCGAATACTTCGCGAGACAGCAGCGACCTAGTTTAGTAAAATTGCGATATCTCGAGCTACAGAGCTCTAAATTGAGTGAGGTTTGGTCCTATGTGAAGCTAACACATAGGGCTACAACCCTGCTGTATGTTTGAAGTGGAGACCCTATTGCTGGAAATTCAGCTTGTTGTAGGAACTTTGCAAAAATCATAACCAGAGTTATACAACTCCGATTGAGGCATACGATATGTCGTTGGAAAGCTTGAGATGTCTAGTTTAACATAGTAAAATCTTAGAGTATTTGGTAAAGATTTGCAATGGTATTTTTAATCTGGTAGTCGAATACTCCTTGTAGGAGTATTGGAATACTTTTCTGAGAAGAAAAGTATTCGGATACCTTTGAAGAAGTATTCGAATACTGGAAAGTATTCGAATACAGTGGGGTTTGATATTCGAATACTGTGGTATTCGGATACTGGAGGGAAAAGTATTCAGATACTTTGTAGTATTCGAATACTTAAATGAAAGTAATCGAATACTTTCTAGAGAGCTGGAGTATTCGAATACTACTCCTCGAGTATACGAATACCTCATGCAGAAACAACATGTAATGATTTAAAATGAGTAAGAAAGACTTAATCACTTAGTGTAATCTGTGCTATGATTATTGATGATTAATTATGGTATGAGCAGATTATGATTGTGCTGTTTGTGGGCCTTGAGCTTGTGTGGACTCTTGGTTTGGATAGCTAGTTTACAAGGTAAGCTTTCGTGTCCTCGGTTTAGCAATGTTGTGGTTCCACCATGTCCCATGGGGGTATGGTTAAATGCTTGCTGTGTTACATGCTTTGGATATTTGAAATGCTGTTGAGCTTTATGTGTAATGGCTTTTAATATGCATGTGTTGTTCCATCTTGACGGTAAGCCTGAGTATGTGGCGTCATACAAGACGGTGATCCGGGGTGGTGCAAGTGGCGTCTTGCACTAGTGTGGGTATTTGGCGTATATAAATCCTGCATTTCTCTAGCCAGTAGAATAGAATTGACACACATGACATGATTATCTGCTGCACTGCATTATTTTAGAACTGATGATGATAAACTGCTTTTGAACTTATATTGTACATGTAAGTGAGCTTGGGGTGGAAGATCCTTGAGGACCCCTTGCCTTACTGAGATTTCTTGTTTAGAGATCTCACCCCACGTTTGGGGAATGCTTATTTCAGGTTCAGGTAGTATGGGGACTGATGCCTCTGGCGGCAAGAGGCCAGAGCTTAGCTGATTATGATATTTATGTTGTATTGCTGACATGACTGGATTTGGATGCTGTTTATGTTTTCCGCTATTTATGATTATGTTGTTGTTGAGACTAATGTTGGGCTTGTTGCCTTATTTGAGTGAGCATGGGGATTGTCCATGACACTTTCTGTTAGTACTTTTAGATTGGAGTTGTATAACCTTCTAGTTGGTCCGGCCTACTTGTGGTAGTCTCGTGATTTCTAGAGACACACTTATATTATCTATGTTATGAGGTATTTCAGTTAGCGGTTTTATTGCAATTACATATAGGCGCTGTTTTATTAATTGATTAATAAGCACGTTGGTAATGATAATGACATCATAATTGGAAAGAAAAAGATATTCCGCATTTTTAATTAAGCGCAGCTTAATACGATAGTATGATAACATTACCGGATATATACGGGGTGTTACAAGAAACATATGAGTAAACCACATGCTTTAGATAAGCAGCGGAGGCACTATAATATAACTAACAAAAGAGGATATACATAAGAATTAGACGATGTGGGACTTTGTTCCATACACTAGGCTACTCTATATACTATATATTCAACATTCCCCCTCAAACTAGAGCATATAAATCATAACCTCCAAACTTGTTACATATGTTAACTATTTGAGGATCCCTCAAAGAC